CCCATCCTAGGGCGAACATCGTCAGTGGCATGTGGATTTTCTGGGTGAAGCGGCTGTCGGGTTCTCCGCCTGTCTTCAAGGCGCGTTACGTTGCTCGAGGCTTCAGTCAGCAACAGGGAGTTGACTACTTTCAGACCTTCTCTCCGACCCCGAAGATGACCACTCTTCGGGTGCTGCTGCACGTTGCTGCTCAGCGTGACTACGAGCTTCACTCTCTGGACTTCAGCACAGCCTTCCTACAGGGCAGCCTGCACAAGGAGATCTGGCTGCGCCGCCCACCTGGCTTCACTGGGTCATTTCCTCCTGGTACCCAGTGGAGCCTCCGGCGGCCAGTCTACGGTCTCCGCCAGGCGCCCCGTCAGTGGCACGACACACTGAGGACTACGCTTGCGGCTCTTGGGTTTGCTCCTTCTACTGCTGACCCGTCGCTGTTTCTGCGCACCGACACTTCGCGCCGCCGTTCTACATCCTCGTGTACGTCGACGACTTGGTCTTTGCCACTGCTGACACTGAGGGACTCGCCCACGTGAAGTCGGAGCTGCAGAAGAGACACACGTGCACAGACCTGGGTGAACTGTGCAGCTATCTTGGCTTGCAGATCGCCCGGGACAGAGCACGGCGCACCATTACCTTGACTTAGTCACACATGGTGCAGCAGGTCCTTCAGCGCTTTGACTTCACGTACTCCTCGCCTTAGGCCACTCCTCTATCTACTCGCCACTCGCTCTCAGCTCTGCCTTCGGATGAGTCCGTAGAGCCGAGTGGCTCGTACCCAGAGCTTGTTGGCTGCCTCATGTACCTGATGACCTGCACTCGACCTGACTTGGCATACCCACTTAGCATCTTGGCACGCTATGTTGCTCCTAGGAGACACCGACCAGAGCACATGGCTGCAGCGAAGAGGGTGTTGCGCTACCTGTGCAGTACGTCGGGCATGGGGCTCGTGCTTGGAGGACGGGCTCGAGTTGTCCTCACTGGTCACGCAGACGCTTCTTGGGTTGACGACTTGGCTACGCAGCGGTCGTCACAGGGTTACACCTTCAGCCTTGGTTCCGGCTCTGTTTCGTGGCGGTCTACCTGCTCGTCCTCTGTTCTCAGCTCCAGTTGTGAGGCTGAGATCTACGCTGGGGCCGTGGCTGCACAGGAGTTACGCTGGCTCACCTACGTGCTGACCGACTTGGGAGAGGCGTCTCGTTCTCCTCCGGTTCTGTACGTCGACAACAAGGCCATGCTGGCCTTGTGTCACGAGCACAGACTGGAGCACAGAACGAAGCACATTGCTCTGCGCTACTTCCTTGCTCGAGAGTTGCAGCAGCGTGGTCAGCTTCGTCTTGCTTACGTGGCCACTCGGGCCAACACTGCTGATATCTTTACCAAGGCACTTCAGCCTTGTGATCATCAGCGCTTTTGTACTATGTTAGGTCTTGTGCCTACCGGGCCTCACTTGCTTACCTCTTGACTTTGCTTGTACTGTGATCTATATATTGTCAGAATGTTATTCTCTAGCCTGTAGTGGGGTGCTCTATAGCGAGTACAACCCATCTAGGGTTTGCTATAGGTATCCTCATTGCTGCTAGTGAAAAAAAAAACCTCCTCTTTTGCCTAAACTTCTCTTGCCTAGCTAGGACTTACCTAGTTATGGCTCCTAACTCTACACACTATCTTCACATGGAATCAGAGCACATACGCTCCTGGCCTGTGGGCCCTCCTACTGCTTCCGCTGCCCTACGCTGTGTCGCGCGCCCCGTGGTGCGCGGCCTCTTATTTTTCATCCCGCCGCGCGCTCGGGGCGCGCGGCGGTTTTCTGCCCGCCGTGCGCCCCGAGGCGCGCGGCGGTTTACTGCTGTGGGGGAGCCAGCGCGCGCCCCGCCCCTCCGTCGCGGAGCCCTGGGGAGCACGCGCGGCCCCCCACCCTACCCGTCGCGGCGCGCTGGGGAGCCCGCGAGCCCCCCGTCCGTCCGTCGCGACGCCCTCGGGAGCCCGCGAGCGCCCCGCCCGTCGGTTGCGACGCACTGGGGAGCCAGCGGGCGCCCTGCGTGGTCGTCGCGACGCCCTCGGGAGGCCGCGCGTGCCCCGTCAGCTCGTCGCGGCGCCCTCGGGAGGCCGCGCGCGCCCCGTCAGGCCGTCGCGGCGCCCTGGGGAGCCGCGCGCGCGTCCCCCCCGCCCGTCCGTCGCGGCGCCCAGGGGAGCAGCGCGCGCCACGCCCCTTCCCTCGCCCCACCCGTCCGTTCTGGCGCCCTAGAGGCGCGCGCCTTCCCCCCCCTCTCCGTCCCCCGCGCTCCTGCCCCTATCCCACCCGTTTTAGGGTTTGGGGGTGAGGAGTGTGGGGGTGGTGGTTGTGGGGGTGTCCGTTGTGCGCGCCGTGCCCTTCTCCTCCTCCTCCTTTGTCTCCCACTGCTGCAGCTGTCGCTGAGGGGGGTGGATGAGTGGGAGACTGGGGTTTAGGGTTTTAGGGGGGTGCGTGGGAGTGGAGCTAGGGTTTGAGCAGTGGGTGTGTGTCGAGGGTGTGGGGCAGTTGGAGGAGGTTGTGTGGAGGTACCTGTCGTGTCGCTTGCAGCGCCTGTAGTCCGTCGCCCTTGCTTCGGTAGCCAGTGAGCCTGCTGCACCAGTCGCCAGTGGGTCCGTTGCTCCTGCCGCTCTTCTATAGCCGCCGAGCCAGTTACTCCAGTAGTCCGTCGCCCTTGCTTCGGTAGCCTCTGAGTCAGCCGCTCCTGTGCCCGTGCCTCTACAGCTTCAGTCGTTGCCTCCCATCTTCTCTACCTCCACAGCTCCTCCTCCTCCTCACTTGCCCGATGTGATTAGCTCTAGCTTTGCTTACCTTTGTGAACTCCTGCTCTATACCTGCTTGCTCATTGTACTGATTACACCCCACTTTGGCTATGGGGGTGTGTCAGAATGTTATTCTCTAGCCTATAGTGGGGTGCTCTATAGCGAGTACAACCCATCTAGGGTTTGCTATATGTATCCTCATTGCTGCTAGTGAAAAAAAAAACCTCCTCTTTTGCCTAAACTTCTCTTGCCTAGCTAGGACTTACCTAGCTATGGCTCCTAACTCTACACACTATCTTCACATATATACCTGCACCTGCATGCTTACCTTTGTTAGGTTGCGATCACTGTCTTGCTTGTTCACTTCGATTTATAATCCTGCATGTGAACTGGCCTTGTGGCCTTGAACTTGTGCTCAGAATGCGTGGTGACGTTGTGATCCACCCTGAGCTTGACCTTGTCTTGTTCTCTTGCTTGTCCCCCACTTTGCCTATGGGGATGTGTCAGAACCATATTGTAGGCTGTAGTGGGGTTGACAATATGGGGTACAACTCTTTTAGGTTTTCATATTTGTACCCACCTGCTTCCTAGTTGATTCCATTCCTCGTACTTTTCTCACAGTTACTCCCGTAGCGAGTCGCGGAGGCGAAGGGTACAACAATTTGCATGCTTAAACCAAAAGAAATAAATTAAAACCCACTCGGATGGCATGCCATCGCAGAGGACATCAACCGTAAACACTATAAGATAAGATGTTTAGTGTTGATACCGATTTTTTTAATATACATATATATATTTTAGGACGGTTATTCTTATGAGAAAAAACTATTGATTATGTTGTTTTTAATCTTTGATTCGCAGCTCGCTGCGGATCTAAATCTGCTGCGGGAAAAAGGCAATTGTTTCGTGCTTTGAACGAGTTTGCGAAAGTGGTCGCGAACTTTTTTCGGATGTAATTATTTTTTCGCGCGTGAAATATCTTTCTCCGAATCTCTACAGTTTCTCGTGTAATTTCAACTTTTCATATAGCGTTTCATTGTGTGAACATACGTGATAGAGTCGTGGGGTAAGGTTGTCACTACCCGTGATAGGATCCTTGATTTTGTTACCGTTCGCGATAGCCGGCTGACCATTTATGATGTCTAGCTAGTGTTCTGGCTATATAATTTCCTTTTTTTTTTATCAGGACCGCTTCTTGGCTGGATGATTCACCAGCTTTTACCTAACGCAAGCAGATTTTGCTAGTGCAAGTTTGCGAATGCATGCAATAGACGGTTCGTGGACTGCCGGCACCCACCATGCGGTTACTAGTCTTTAGGGTTTAGGCTCCCCCAGTCGCATGCCATCCAGACGGGGTGTTTTTTCTGACCGTGGGCAGATAACAGTCTGTCAGCCTCTTTCCCTTCTATTGTATGCATCCGCATAATTGCACTGGCATAAGTTGAATGCCGTTGAAAATGGCCCATGATTGTCGTAACTTGCGGCGACAGGTTCGCTGGGGTGCACCAACCGAGGCGCAGATGTGATGCTGAGTGCGACGGGCAGCAGAACCTGCCAACTCTGGCCAATGAATAGCCTTCACTCCATCAACTTACCTTTCGTGGCGACTCTCTGTCTGAGCAAACGACGTTTCTGGTTTTTCAGTGACGATCGCAAACACGAAAGTATCGTCTTCCCAAGCCCGATCCACTATTCTCGACACATCCAGCTGTCGCATTTTCTCCCCTCCCCCCTCGACGGAACACCTCTCTGTTGTGGGGATGGCTAGTGTGGTGGGTGGAGCAAAAAAGCGGATCCATTCCCTGAACCACCTGCTCCAGCGCTTGCCAGTCGTTGCATTGCATACGGCGAGGCACATGCACTTGTTGACTGAATAGTGTCGTGCCTAGCTTCCGAAGTGCATCCCCTCATACGATATCCGCTACTAGCACACTTAGCGCCTGTCGCCATTTGCGTTGGTCCACGCCAGCAGGCCAGCCGCAAGGCGACCGTCGCTCGCCGAGAGAGAAAGAAGCGCGCAGCCCGCCGCGCTTGACGACGTCACATATTTTTCACATCGTCGCACGATGGGCGGCGGTTACTCACGAGTCGACATTCCAGAGGCAGCGGGTGGCGCGGAAGCTCCGACCAAGGTACGCATGCCGCAGATCCGCGCAGTGGTAGAAGCGGTCGACGCGGGGCGAGGGGATGAGAGGGGCGCGTAACTAGGGGCGGGGAACAGCGGGGCGCTGATGGTTGGAATTGACGCCGTATTCGCCGAGGCGCTTGCGGCAGGGAATGGGGCGCTCGCTGCGCGTTGGTGCGCGTCACCACAGAAACCCTCGCAGAAAACGTGCAGAACCCTCGCAATCCAACTTCCGAAGCCAACTATCGAGCAGAATCCCCTCGATTTCAGCATGGGGCGTTTTCAGCGCTCTCCGTCCTCAAATTCCCTCTTCCGTCCGACCGACGGCACCGGCTGCACCTCCGCGCGTTGCCGCCATGCACACGCTCCCCCTCCCCCCCCACCTCCCTCGTGCACCGTGCACATTGCCAGGCCCCAGCCGTGCGCCTGTGACCCACACGCACATCACCTCGCCGCTCTCCTTGCGCGACCAGCTCTCCTTGCGCGACCCGCTCTCCTTGCGCGACCCGCTCTCCTTGCGCGACCCGCTCTCCTTGCGCGACCCGCTCTCCTTGCGCGACCCGCTATCCTTGCGCGACCCGCTCTCCTTGCGCGACCCGCTCTCCTTGCGCGACCCGCTCTTCCAGCCCTTCCGCCGCCTCCCTCTCTTCCCTCCCTCCGTTCCCTTCCCGCCCTTCCCTCCCCCTCTCTGCAGCCGGGGGATGCGGAGCAGGCGCAGCGCAAGGCGGGGGGGACGTGCGGGCGCGTGGTGTGCTGCTCGCTGTGCGTGCTGCTGCTGCTGCTCGCCGTCGCCGTCGCCGCCTCCGTCTCCGTCTTCGTGCTGTACCAGCCCAGGGTGAGATTGGGGGAACTGGTAGGTGCTGTACCAGCCCAGGGTGAGATTGGGGGAACTGGTAGGTGCTGTACCAGCCCAGGGTGAGATTGGGGGAACTGGTAGGTGCTGTACCAGCCCAGGGTGAGATTGGGGGAACTGGTAGGTGCTGTACCAGCCCAGGGTGAGATTGGGGAAACTGGTAGGTGCTGTACCAGCCCAGGGTGAGATTGGGGGAACTGGTAGGTGCTGTACCAGCCCAGGGTGAGATTGGGGGAACTGGTCGGTGCTGTACCAGCCCAGGGTGAGATTGGGGGAACTGGTAGGTGCTGTACCAGCCCAGGGTGAGATTGGGGGAACTGGTAGGTGCTGTACCAGCCCAGGGTGAGATTGGGGGAACTGGTAGGTGCTGTACCAGCCCAGGGTGAGATTGGGGGAACTGGTAGGTGCTGTACCAGCCCAGGGTGAGATTGGGGGAACTGGTAGGTGCTGTACCAGCCCAGGGTGAGATTGGGGGAACTGGTAGGTGCTGTACCAGCCCAGGGTGAGATTGGGGGAACTGGTAGGTGCTGTACCAGCCCAGGGTGAGATTGGGGGAACTGGTCGGTGCTGTACCAGCCCAGGGTGAGATTGGGGGAACTGGTAGGTGCTGTACCAGCTCGGGGTGAAATTGGGGGGATGGGACAAAAAAACAGATTCAGTTGGACATTTGGGGGAGGATTGAACCACGATGATGTGGCTGTGATGATGTGGCTGTGATGATGTGGCTGTGATGATGTGGCTGTGATGATGTGGCTGCGATGATGTGGCTGTGATGATGTGGCTGTGATGATATGGCTGTGATGATGTGGCTGTGATGATGGTCGCATGTGATGATGGTCGCATGTGATGATGGTGGCATGTGATGATGGTCGCATGTGATGATGGTCGCATGTGATGATGGTGGCATGTGATGATGGTCGCATGTGGTGATGAGCTTGTGGTGACGAGCTTGTGATGATCGCCCTATTGCATGCCCCACCTGCCCCCCTACAGGCGCCCGAGTTCTCAGTGGGGGGCATCGCCATCTCACAACTCGCACTCACACCGCTGCTGCCGCCCTCCCAGCCGGTTCAGCCACCCCTGCTGCCAGCCGCCGCCCCTTCCTCCTTGCCCACTCTTCCAATTCCTGGGAACGTTCCCCCTCCTGCCAACATGTCTCTGCCTGGCAACGTCCCTCTCCTTGCAAACATGTCCCTCCCTGGCAACATGTCGCTGCCGTCCTTGACTGGCCCGCTGCCCGCCAACCTCACTCTCAACACCGCTCAGCTCGCTGCGGCCGTCAAAGCTGCAGCCGCTGCTACCACCCTCCCTGCCAACTCCACCCACCCCGCCTCCCCTGCTGCTGCTGCCGCCGCTGCCGCCACCTCTAAATACCTCTCCCCGCTCGCCTCATCCCCGTTATTAACATCTCCACTTCTTGCCAATGCGAACATCACGATCCACACGCCGAGTGGCATGACTCTACTGGGGCTGCTGGCAGCGAGGGAGGCGGAGCTGGATGCAGAGCTGAATGTGACGGTGGTGGCGGGCAACAGCAACCACGTGGGCATCTCCTACGAGTACGTCACCATCACCGCTCGCCACCTCGGCTCCGACGTCGGCAATGCTTCGGTGCGTGGCTGGCAGGGGGCAGTGGGCAGGGGGCAGTGGTGCACATGCATGCATGCATGTGGCATGGAAGGGTGCGGGTGTTTGAGATTGTGATTGGCGAATGGTTGCTGCCCGCCCCCACATCCCACTCGATGTCTCCCTCCTGCCATCCACATGCTTCCCGCATCAACCATCTCCCTATGCAATTCAAATCCCTGCCCTCCCCACCCTACTGCGCCCAATGCAATGCACCACATCCCAGCGTTCCACATTCTAAACAGCTTCCCTTCCCCCCCACCTCCTCTCTTGGCGCCAATGCCTGTGCACCAGATCCCGGCATTCCACCAGCCACCACGCAGCAACACCACGGTGGAGGGGCACGTGCACCTCACCCGCCTGCCCCTGCACCTCCTGCCACCGCCCTCCTCCTCCTCACCCCTCTCCGCCTCCACACTCTCCCGTGACGCCCTCTCTGCCCAGTCCACTCTGCCGCTACAGGTGCTCCCTACCCCTCCCTCCTTCGCTCCCTCCCTTCCGGCCTCTCTCCCTCCGTCCCTCCCTCCGCCCCTCTGTCCGTCCCTCTGTCTCTCCCTCCCTTCCTCCCTCCCTTCCTCTCTCTCTCCCTCTTGCTCCCCCTCTACCTCCTTCATCCATCTCCACTCTGCTTGCGTGCTGCTCCCTCACCCTCTCACCTGACATTCAAACCTTCTTTCGACATTCTCTCAATGCTCAAGTAAATGTTCTCTTCGTTTCTGCTGCACTCGCCTTCTCTCTCCTTGTATTCCCCCTCCATGCCCGCCGCTGAAACAAGGCTATTCCGTCCCACCAAATGCCAACACAACACCACCATCATACCAACTCACACTAATATGCTCCTCCTCTCTCTGCTGTATGTTGCTCTGGCATCCCCCCTCGCATCTTTCGCCTGTTGTCTTCCACTCCTGCAGCTGGCAATAGAGGCGAGAGCCAACGTGGACGTTTATAATATCGGAACTCCTTATGTCACGGTATGTTCTCGCTTATATATTCTGCCCTGTTTCTGTTTCTTGCCATTACGGCTCTCATACTAGATAATGTCCTTCTTGTTGCTTCACATAGCCATGGCTGCATGCATGCTTGCATGGTACCATTTGTGTGCTCTGGTGTTACCGTATTCCCTCCTCTTCCCACACACGCAGGTCAATCTACTGTGTGACATGGAAGTCAACATCGCACTGCAGCGTGTGGACAACACAACATGTAGCCTAGAAAGCATTCACTTATAATACGGAATCTTTGATCTTACGGAGGAACTCATGTTGTATAATTAATTTGTGTTTCATAAAGATGCGTTTTGGGTATGCTCCAACAAGTCACTTAGGCGTGGAAACTTGCGTTCTTGTACTGGAACGAGTGACATGCCATGTGCTGTACCTTACGCATTCGGGCCTTCCCATTTCCCTCCTCCCGTGCCCGGCTTGCCGCACCACCACCACACCTCAAGCCCGTCTCGTTATTATCACCCGCCATCACAGCTGGTCTGGCCTTGACGCCCATTCATAGATCGGCATGCCGCTATCTCGCCGGCGAGTCGCTCTAGGCGAGCCGTCTCTGCGATCGTCGCACGCGTACTCCCGTTGAGCTCGTCCGCGCTCGATCGGCGTCGCCTTTGAGATCAATCCCGATCATTTCGTAACTGAGATTAGGTAATCTATTGTCGTAACGTTTCGAAATCATGCTTCTCTCGCACCAGTATCCTGGTCGCACCCCTTCCTCCTCTCCTGCAGTCTCTCCATCTTTTATCGGCTCATCTGTTTGCCACTCTTCCTCCCCTCTCCTTCCTTCTTCCTCGTCCCACCTCCCGACAACCCTTCTCCGCACGGCGAATCGCCGTCCTCTCATGCCGCCAGTCCGCCCTCTCAGCACGCCCCTCCCGCTAGCCAACGGTCCCAGCAGCAGCGACACGCGCGCGGCAGCATGGGGGGCAGCGAGGAGCGGCAACAGCAGGAGGGGACGGGCGAGGGGCGGATGGGGTGGCTGTCGGCTGTGGCGATCGGCGCTATCACTCCCGGCCTCAACGTGAGACACAGCGTGCTGACGTGGCATGAAATGTCGATTTATGCGTAACACAGACCCTACATTGATATATATATTAAGCGATTACTGCATGGATCTGTGGCGCAATGGTAGCGCGTCTGACTCCAGATCAGAAGGTTGCGTGTTCGATTCACGTCAGGTTCAAAACCTGGTTTTTGTCAATTTCTCATTTCCAGTCATAGGCAATTGTTTCTATGCTTTGCCTTGTGTTTCCCCTTTGTTCTCTTACCTGCCACTATTGCGGGTGTTCTCCCCACACCCTTCCTATCGTGCTCACTCTTCCCTCCTTTCTTCCTCCCTGTCCAATAGGTTTTCCTCATTCCTCCCTTGTTGTCCTCGTTTTTTCGAAATCAAGGCACCCTCTTCTTGTCACTCCTGCCATTCATCCCGCCCTTTTTCCCATCTCCTCCCTCTCAACGAGCCCACCCTCTACTACAGCAACCTGTTCCCCCAATCCCTCCCCCGCCCCCAGCGCCCCACACTGGTGCTCATGAACGCCATCCTGGGCGGGCTGCTGCTCTCCTTCGCTGCCCTGCTGCCCGCCGCCCTCCGCTACTCCCGCCCCCCTGCAGGGGACAGCGGCAGCAGCGGGAGCAGCAGCAGTGGCAGTGGCAGCGCGGTGGAGGGCGGCAGCAGTGAGATGCTGTATCACGTGCTCTTCCTGCTGCTGCTCACTCTCCTGCTCATTGCTCTGCTCAACTGGTGGGTGTCCGGTGCTCGAGGATTCACCCATGGTTGCATTCACCCATGTTACTACCCATACATGCATTCACCCATGTTACTACCCATACATGCATTCACCCATGTTACTACCCATACATGCATTCACCCATGTTACTACCCATACATGCATTCACCCATGTTACTACCCATACATGCATTCACCCATGTTACTACCCATACATGCATTCACCCATGTTACTACCCATACATGCCGTCACCCATATTACTACCCATACATGCATTCACCCATGTTACTACCCATACATGCATTCACCCATGTTACTACCCATACATGCATTCACCCATGTTACTACCCATACATGCATTCACCCATGTTACTACCCATACATGCCGTCACCCATGTTACTACCCATACATGCATTCACCCATGTTACTACCCATACATGCATTCACCCATGTTACTACCCATACATGCATTCACCCAAGTTACTACCCATACATGCATTCACCCATGTTACTACCCATACATGCATTCACCCATGTTACAACCCATACATGCATGCACCCATGTTACTACCCATACATGCATGCACCCAAGTTACTACCCATACATGCATGCACCCAAGTTACTACCCATACATGCATGCACCCATGTTACTACCCATACATGCATGCACCCATGTTACTACCCATACATGCATGCACCCATGTTACTACCCATACATGCATGCACCCATGTTACTACCCATACATGCATGTCCCTCTCCTGTCCCGTCCCCTCCCTTTCTTCCTCCCCTGCCTCACCTCCTCTCTCCCTCTCCTCCACTCCCCTCCCCTCTCATCCCATCCCTTGCCCTTCCCTCCCGTTACTTCTCTCTTCCCCTGTCCCGGACCGTTCTTCCCCAGACATGCCACTCCACTCACTCTCTGCACCAACCCGCGTGCACATCGCTGCTCCCACTCCCACACTGCATCCCTATGTCATGCATACCTGGCCAAAGCAACCCTCGCCAACTTACCCTCCCCCCTGGCAGGTTGGCGTGGGAGGTGGGCACGGTGTCTGCCGACTCACAGGCACGGCACCTGCTGGCACCTGCTGGCACCAGCCATGGTGCTGCTGCCGCTCACAATGCCATCGAGGCCCTGGATGCCCAGGAGGGTGCAAGCGGGCCGAGAGGAGTGCACGGCAAGAGGCAGAAGAAGAAGCATCAGAGCAGCAAGCGGAGCTCCAAGGGAAGGCGCTGACCTCCTTGTTCCCGCTTCCCTGCTTTGTGCTTCGTGTGACTTGTTGCTTCTCCACACTGCCATAGCTATTGCCCACAATGCAGCCATGGGGGGATATGGTATGGGGCTAAACGGGTTTACCTGGTATCTCGAGTACTGAACCTTGTCCTGTCCTGACTCTCCAAGTGGACAATGCTGCTCGGTTGACACAAGGATGAAACAAGGATGGCATGGCATCTGGGCCCAATCAGCCATGTTCTTTTGCCATATCTGATCTGATGCAACTGGTGAATTGGGAGTTTTCAGACGCACACAACTGAAAAGCAGGGCAGTGGTGATGTGGCGGCTCATTTCAGGGCAGCAACAATGTGTTATGCCAACCATCGCTTGGCCATGGGCTGGGATGGGTCGCAGGCAAGCACACTAGTCAGGTACGGTAACCCCACATGGCTAACTCATTTACACACCAAGGCAAGCATAATCAACTACGCTCTGGTTAGCCCTTCCCAAATCAAATCTCCTGACAAAACGTAAAAGTGAGGCAAACGAATCTGCTCTCATTGCATGCCTTTGTGGCTGTGTGAGCCATGTATGGAAGGCTGGCGCAAGCAAGAGCACGTGCACACAGGCATGTATAGCTGTCTCGGGAGATCATGAGTGCAGGGAGGCACCCATACATGCCTGTGTGCCCTGGCCAGCCTGAGCACACTGCCCATACCCCCTGGCGGCCTGCACAGCAGCCGTGGGGCGTGGCATGGCGTGGCGTGGGCATCACATGATCTGGAGCTGTGTGGTGGGGTAGCCCGCCTGGGCGCGGTAGTCAAGGAAGAGGCGCTCCAACGCCCTCACGTACTCTGCATGCACCGCTGCCACCTGGGAAGGGGGGGTGGCGTGGCATTGCATGGCATGGGATTGGAGGGTACATAAAGGTGAGTAAGCGAGGGGACATGAAGGCAGTGAAGTACTCCGCGTGCTCTGCTGCCTGCCATCTGTGTGGGGGGGATGGCACAGCATGGGATTGCACGCAGTGAGGGCATGGCAAGGCAATGGCATACAAGGGACATTGCATGGGATGGCATGGTATGGGTGCATGGCAGTGGAACGTCACAGAGGATGAGGAGAAGGGAAACGCATGCACCCATGCAGGCGTGCGTGGTGTGCAAGGGAGGGCTGAGTGAATAAACAAGGCACAGCTCGACAACTGCTTTGAAGCGCCAATCAATGAACCCCCTTGCACCTGCCCACACAAACAGCGCTCGCTTTACATCCGCACAACACATTTCTCACACTCACAGCCACTTCACCATTTCCACCTCACCATTTCCACTTCACCATTTCCACCTCACCATTTCCACCTCACCATTTCCACCTCACCATTTCCACCTCACCATTTACACCTCACCATTTCCACTTCACCAATTCCACTTCAGCACCGTGCCTGACATGCGTTCAACGTACCCTTTCTTTTGAGGGGTTGGGGTCAGGGTCACCCTGGCCGATGGGAGTGGCGATGGCGATGGTGAGGGGCGTGCGGAAGGGGATGGGCGACCCCCACATGCCCCAGAAGACCATCGGCGCAAACCCCATTCTCCGCGCCACCCACCGGTACCATGCCCCCTCTGGCCTCCACCAGCGATATGCACTGGTCTGAGGGATGGGGGGAAGGGAAGAGGGGGGAGATGGGCGCGGGAGAGGGAGGAGGGAAGGGAAGGGAGGGGGAAGGTTGAGGAAGGAGGTGGGAGGACGTGGAGCATGAGGGGCTGGAGGATAGATGAGGGAAGTGCGAGTAGAGGTGCGTGTGCACCATGCCACCATGCCACCATGCCACCATGCCACCATGCCACCATGCCACCATGCCACCATGCCACCATGCCACCATGCCACCATGCCACCATGCCACCATGCCACCATGCCACCATGCCACCTTGCCACCTTGCCACCATGGCATCATGCCACCATGCCACCATGGCACCATGGCACCATGCCACCATGGCACCATGGCACCATGGGGGGAATGGGATGGAAAGAGGAGAGGACAAAGAGAGGAGGAGAACAAGCTTTCTCTGGCAGGGTCGATGCGAGGCGAGAGGGGGCCATGAGGGGATGGAGGCGAGGCGAGGGTTGGAGTGCTGTGCAGCGTGGCGGCATGGTCTGCCTCCATTCTGGGTGTGCCCCGGTGCGTGGGGGGTGCAGGGCAAGGGAGGCACGAGAAGGGGTCAAGTGTGGAAGCCAGGAGGGGGGAGAGGGACTGAACGAGGGGAATGCATGGAGCACACAAGCTTGCTTTGGCAGGGCAGAGGCGAGGCAAGCAGCAAGGAATGAGAAGGAAGGCAGAGTGTGGAGGAGAGAGTGTTTGCTTCAGCAGCGCACAGGAACAGAGCCCAGTGCCCACTTCCCACCGCCCACCACCCGCCCCCACTGCCCCCAGCCCCCAGCCCCTCGCCCCCCCGCTCCCAGACCGCGTCCCCCAACCCACGGAGCCCGCCCCTCGGCCCCCGCCCCGTGCGTCCCCTGCCCACTGCCCCTTGCACCTGGCCGAAGGCGAAGCAGGGCAGCACGGGCACGCCGTGCTGCAGCGCCAGGCGGATGAAGCCCAAGCGCTGGCGGATGAACACCACCTGGCGGGTGGCGTGGGGCGGGGGGAGGAGGTGCGGTTGTGGGGGTGGGGGGGGGGGGAAGGAGGAAGGGGGGGGGCAGGGGGTTCGGTGGGTGTGTGGAGGGACAGGGAAGATGGCAGAGGAGGGGGGGGAGAGGGACGTGAAGCCAAATTGGAGAGGATGTGAAGAGTGTGGCGATACAAGCATGCGAAGGATATGGGGAGAGGGCGGTACGAGGGAGAGGGAAAGGGAGAGAGGAAGGTGCGAAGGAAAAAGAGCGAGGGGTGTGGGAAAAGGTTGGAGTAGGGGTAAGGGAGGAGCCAAATTGGGAAGAGGGGGATGGGGGATTTTGCATGACACAGCGACGAACGAGTACCGCACCCCACATGCACTTTTCCCCCGTGCATGCACATTCACACACCCCATCCCTCAACACAACCCATTCCGCCACACCCCATCCCGCCCCACCCTACTCCTCAAGGTGGAAAATTGCGCTGAGCGAAATTTTCGAGCCGAAATTTTCAATCGAAATTTTCGGCCGTTTTTGTAATATTTCGGCGAAATTTTAATGGACCTAAAAAAAAAAAAAAAGACAGATCCGCCCTAGATTTGATGGCGAAATGCCAGATCCGCCCTAGATCTGATGGCGAAATGCCAGATCCGCCCTAGATCTGATGGCGAAATGCCAAATCCGCCCTAGATCTGATGGCGAAATGCCACATCCGCCTAGATCTGGTGGCAAAATGCCATTAGAATGTCCACCCATGAAATTTTATCGGATTTTCTCATTTTTTTCCTGAAAAATTCGGACGAAATTTTCCACCAAATATTTTTTTGGAAGGGGGACCGAAATTATGGAAATTTTCGGTCGAAATTTTCGATAGCGAAATTTTCGCCCAAAATATGAAAAATTCGGCGACATTTTGCACCCTGCTACTCCTCCGCACCTCCTTGCCGGGCGCCATGAAGAGGCACTCCTGCACGCCCATTCACACACGCCATGCCGCCACATGCCATCGCACCACACTCCATCCTGCCCCACCCCATCCCTCCCGCACCTCCTTGCCGGGCGCCATGAAGAGGCACTCCTGCACGCCGCCCGGCACGATGATCACGGGGCGGCCGCGCTGCAGCACACCGGAGAGTACTGGCCTGGTGGCGGGGGCGAGGCGCGCCCACTGCCAGCACTGGCGCAGCAGCGGCACGCGGAAGATGGCGCTCGTGGCGCCCGCCATCCCCCCCGCTGCCAGCGCGTGGCACATGAACGCGCCCAGCCCCACCGGCAGCACCGAATGCGGCTCCACTGCTATCACTGCGATGACCCAGGGTGGGGGGAAGGTGGGGGGAGGAGAAGCGGGGAAGAGAAGGGGGAAGGGGGGAGGGGGGAGGGGGAAGGGGGAAAGGAAAGGGAAAAGGGGGGAGATAGGCGGGATAGCAAAGGAGTGGGTAAGAACGGCGCATGCTGACCGCACACCCTCGGCTGCCATCCTCCTTCCTCCACTTGTGCTGCAGGCCTCCTCCCTCACATCTTTCTACTTGCAGACACATAAACATTCACCTCAAAACACGCACATGCACATGGGCACGAGCACGGGCACAAGCGAGAGTGGCATGTGCACACCTATCCATTCACCACCCCACGAACACCACGCACCCACACACCACCCGTGCACCTGCCAACACGCCCCACCCGTGCTCCCCTCCCCCCCAAGTTGCTGGCATCGCACCGTAGGGCTTGCCGAAGGTGACGGCGGTGCGGTCATGGAAGAGCACGCGCACGGGGAAGTGGCGCAGCACCACCGGGTAGATGAACCTGCCATGGGGGCGAGGGACGAGGGGCGAGAGACAAGACATATGGAGGCGAGGCATGAGGCACAAGGGAAGGCACACACACATCACAAGGTGACGGTAATGCTGCGGTCATGGAAGAGCAGGCGCACGAGGAAGTGGCGCAGCACCACTGGGTAGATGAACCTGATGGGGGCGAGGGACGAGGGGTGAGGGGGCGAGAGGCGAGGGGCGAGGCAAGACACACACGCAACCACCACGCAGCAAGGGAAAAGAGCGAGATAGCGAGGTGTGCAATTCAGGCCGGTGGATATGAGTGAGAGCCGGCAGATGGCGGCCCGCAGCGAGGAGGAAGGGAAACGGGATGGTGGGTGAACAGGTAGCGCGGGGCAGATGGGACGCGCCCTCGAGAGGCTTGCCTCCAAGCGAACCCTAATCGGTTTTGACCGAGTTCACATGGAGTTGACGCGGACACAGCTTCAACCGTCTGTGGGCCGGAGGAAGAAGCAGGCGGCCATTGGCGAAGTAAGGGGAAGTTGTCGAGCGAAAGAGGAAGCGAACGGAGAACGAGCGGAGGGGAGACGGACCTGCGGTAGGCCTGGGCGAGGGGCCCCTCGACGTCGACGGGCGCGACGGCGAGCGTGGCGAGGAGCAGCAGCAGCGCGATGGCGAGGGGGTGCGGGAAGGTGAGCGCGATGAGCAGGAGCAGCGCGAGCAGGATGTGCAGCCACCCCATCCACAGCACCATCGCCGCCCAGTCCGCCACCGAATGCCGCGACAGCGCCGTTGCCTTGCCATCGTCTCCACTCGCTACTAGCGCCGGCGACAGCGCCGCTGCGTCGCCGTCGACCCCTTTCGTCGCTGGCGACGGCGGCGACTGTTCCGCCTTTCCGCCGTCGCTTCCCGCCAAGGCGGAAAGCGCTCCTCTGCTTTCAGCGTGCGGATGGTGCACGGAGCCATTCTCGACCGAAAGTCGCGGCGCCATGGACGTTGCGTGCGGGGTTGCGAGGACCACTGGCTAGTAGCAGAACTCGAGCCGACGACAGAGCTGGTGAGTCCTCGTGAGCAGCGAGTACACTCCCGCGCTCCACTCGATTTCCACTGGAGCTTCGAGCCCGTGGCTGCTGGCTCCGAGGGTCCCATGATGCCATGTGATGGGTTTGACTCAGCACCCGCCGGCGAGGGTCGCTTTGGGGCTGCCTCACAGCAGAAAATTGTCGAGCAACGGAATCGATGGGGGCGGGAATGTAACACCGAGGACGCGGCGTGCCGCGTGTGGGCTAGCAAACCCGGCGGGATGGGGCTGTCATCGCGCTCGAGCGAATATCGAGACAAGGGCGATGTTCGGCAGCCGAACATCGCCAAGCCGTGTGCGTGATTGGGCTTCCTCGCTCGCTCTGCTGGCATTCTTGGGTTGGGTAAGGTGGTCCCATCAAGAACGCAGTTCCCCCACGCGCAATTGTTCGTCGGTGCCTAAGAAGACTCGCGCCTTGAGAGTGCTTCTGCCGGGCAAGGTGGTCCCCACATCGGGCCACTCCCGGGTTTTCCTGGATCACCCACCCCACTGCCAGTTTCCTTTCGTCAGGTTTCGCTTGACGCGGTTTTGATACGGTCAACCACGTTTCAGAGTGGTTCTTGACTTACACCTCTTTAGACCACTGTGTACCAGAATGAACCTTTCAAATCAACTGTAAACGAATGAACTTGACCTGCAAGGTCTTGTGGAGGCGTACGTGTTGGTTCGCCGGATTTTCGATATCGCTGCACTTTCCTCCACAACTTCTCCTACGTTTCAGGCCTGCCACATTTTCCGCTTAGATGGTGTGCTGCTACATTCTTCCACCATAAAGATTACATTCCCCATCCCATTCTAGCCACCCATGACTTCCCGCAAGAGAAACCGGCCCCCAGACCTTGCAGCAACAGCCCCGTCCTCGTCCACAACTCGTTCTCGTCCTTCCCCTCCTTTCGCTACTGTCCATGTTCCTCTTCCACCATGCTTACCGACACCCTCTTCTTCCAACCAACAGCGAACCTCACTGCAACCCCCTTCTCCTCCTTCACACTGCTCTCGTCCGCACGTTAGGCCTCCTATTATCTCCCAGCAACAGAAGGACGCCCTTCACCAAGTCATTGCGGACACCATGGCTTCGGCACGGCCACCCCATCCTTCGTCGACTCGCTCCACCTCTTCGTCTGCTTGAGACGCTCACTCAACAGACCACGCCACCCCAGCTGCCACTACTGACGTTCAACACCCTCTCTCGCATTACACTGATTGCTGCGATATGAAGGTGATCGCTCCTAGGATCTCCTCAGGAAGGTTCGCACACAGCTAGATAGTGTTGGTGGGCCCTTGACCTCAATAGCAGAGTGAATGTAAAATACTTGAGATGACTAAAACATGCAAATACAAGGATATAAATATGAGTACAGGGGAATTCGAATCGACCTAGCTAGCCATGTACTCTAAGGGGTACATTCCCTTATTCAAATTCATTCCCAACCTTGCGGCGCGTACAGTTACGAAACTGTTCTCGCCAAATTCCTCTTGCTTGCAGCTGCCCGATGCCGTCTGCTCCGACGGTCCAGATCCACCCTAACCGTCTGACGCTTCGAGTCAACTATGACTCCTCGTATTCATTCTCGATACTGCGTTCTTCTTTTGCTGCGATTAGGAGTGCACAGTAATGTTTTCATCCATTGCTATTCGTAACACCCCCCTTCACTCCTGGCCGTAGCTCGACTTGACCTGCTTGACCACTCCGCTGAGTTTGGAGCAGTGCTGGTACTGTTGGCGTGACAGTCGCTTCGTGAGAAAGGCTGCTGCCATGTCACCTGTCGGGCAGTAGGTCAAGTCAACCTTGCCTTTGTCCACTTCGTCCTTGACGAAGAAGTACCGCAGCGCAATGTGCTTGGTGCGGTTGACGAAGCCAGGTTTGTTCGCGATGCGGATCGCGCTTTGGTTGTCGCAGTGGAGGCGAAAGGTGGGCGAAGCTGGAATCTTCGCCTCCTGCAGGAGTTCCTGCAAGTAGAGTCCTTCGCGAACTACTGCCGTTGCTGCGATGGATTCCGCTTTGGCTGACGACAGGGCAACCAGCTCTTGTTTCTGCGAGTTCCAGGAGATTGGTCCCGTCGGTTCGAGCCGGAATAGGAAGCCAGTTCTGGACCATCGATTGTCAGGGTCTGCTACGTGATCGGCGTCCACGTAGCCGATGAGGTTGAAAGATGGGGTCGGCACTGTTGAGTACCAGAGTCCAATCTTGGGTGTTGAAACGAAGAACTGTAAGGCGCGCTGCAGGTCCAGAAGATTCTCAGCCGTTGGTTTGCAAGAATATTGGGCTAATTGACTCGCGATGTAGGAAAGGCTGGGCCTGCATGTAACGAGGCGAAGAGCAGACATCCCAGCTGCTGCGGATAAGACTGAATTCCAGCGGGGGATAGGGCTTTGTTGTCAGGTTTGTGATTCGGTCCGGTAGTTCGGTAGGGAGTGGAGAGCGGTGCACGTAAATGTTGAAGCGCTTCCCTAGCTCCTCTTCATACTTAGCCTCTGAGAGGTGGATAGCTTCTGGCGCGTAGGAGATGTTGAGGCCTAAGAACTGCTTCACCTCGTAGTTGCAGGTGATATCGATGCGCCCCGCCAGACTCTTCTCAAACTGCTCCAGTAGTTCATTGCTTGATCCTGTGTAAAGCAGGTCGTCGACGTAGACTGTGAGCAGGATGTATTCTCCGCGGAAATCGCGGCGGTACATCCTAGGATCATGAGGCATCTGCTTGAACCCAATTTCAAGCAGGATGTTGTGCAGATACTGCTGCTAGAGCCTCGGTGCTTGCTTGTGTTATAGTCACAGTAGGCTCCAATGTGCCTAAAACGGAAGATAGAGTGCACAGTCGGATTTCTGCACAGCGGCTTTAAACGTTCATAGAGATCTGCTCACACCTCCAAATGACCTGATTCAACTTGGATCTAGAGTCTTAAATTCACCTACAATAGGCAATTTAGATCACACGATTTGACCAAGTATTGACGACACAGCGTCGGTTTGAACGAACGGCACTATGGCAGCCACTATGGTCTTAGAACACATGATAGGAAGAGTTTCGAGTTGGGAATGACTCCCAGCTCCTACAAACCCCAAGAGCCGAGGTACAGTGATGTGGAACAGTGCCACACTGTCCCCAACCACGAAGGGTCTCGAAACTACCCTTCACTAGGGTCTACACCAAGTGAAATGTTACACTACACAAAGTAATGTAACTATCTTCAATTTCTTGAGGTGTACCCTTTTGGCGAGCTTCGCGAACACTTGAATGATGACACCAGGGCTCGGATTCTTCATCACAAACTCATCATTGAGTTCTTGATGGGTCTGCTGCACACACCTGCGACATGCCGAACGTTAGACAAGCGACAAAATAGAAACCGCACACGACAAAATAGAAACCGCGCGGGACACACAGAATGACCACGTTACACGCGACTAGCGATAATTCGCTATTGACTTGACACACACACTCGACATCATGACCCATCATACACACACTATTATAAGCATGAAATATATATTATTTCATGCCCTCATTCCATTCCATGCACACACGCATGCACGCACACGGACAACAAGCCGAGTGCAAACCGTAGGGTTGCACCAACAAACTCCCCCTCGGATTGTTGGCCTTAGGATCTTGCTCTCTCAGTTCAGAGCCATCCCAGCCAGCTTGCAACACTTCCAATGCTGCTGCTCCACCAGCCTCTTGGTCATCATGTCAGCCAGCTGCCCCGTCGTCTTCACGTAACGCAACTCAACTTCACCCGCGGCCACCATGCTCCTCGTCCAATGCCACTTCACCCTCATGTGCTTTGTTAGGCCGTGCAACACAGGGTTCTTGGCTAGAGCAATGGCTCCCTGGCTGTCACAATAGAGAGGAGTAGGTCCTTGCTGCTCCTCCCCCAATTCAGCCAACAAACGTCGCTGCCACACAATCTCCCGTACGGCACGGAAGAGTGCCATGTACTCGGACTCCACCGAGCTCAATGCTTGGTCAACCTGCTTCTTGCTTTCCCAAGCAGTAGGGCCTCCACCAACACAGCAGATGAAGCCTCCCACACTTGTCATGTCCTCTGGTTCAGATGCATATGAAGCATCCGAGTAGGCGGTGAGGAACAAACGCCCGGGTTCCACACCATCCGCTCCCTTTTGGCGCCTTTGCGCCGCCGCCGAGTATTGCAGCCCAACGGTCGGTGTTTGGCCAAGATACTTGGCCACCCTCATTGCAGCTGCTACCTGCTCCTCATTAGGGCATTGAACAACCCTTGCCAGCTGCCCGGTAGCAAATGCGACATCCGGTCGTGTGTTGACCGCCGCGTATATGAGGCTGCCCACCAACGAGTGAAATCGGCGCCTCTCCTCTTCACCCACGCTCTCCTCCTCTGGTCCCTTCACACACTTGAACCCAGAGGGAAAGGGTGTAGCCACATGATCTTCACTCTGCCCAAAGTTGGCAGCCAATGCCTCCAGGTACTTCCGTTGGTGCACCCGCATGCACCGCTTCTCCACATCACGTTCGATGTGGAGCCCGAGGTAGAAGTTGACGTCCCCAAGGGACTTGCACTTGAACTTGTCTTGAAGTATCAGCATCACCTCCTTTACAAGGTCAGAGGAGGGTGAGAAGATCAGGATGTCGTCCACGTACACCACCATGAAACTCCTCTGCTCCCCCTCGCCAAGCATGAACAAGGAGTGATCGACCGTTGAGGGAGTGAAGCCGATTCCCTCTAACACTTCGCGCAGCTTCATGTACCACTGCCTAGGGGCCTGCTTCAGCCCATAGAGGGCCTTCTTCAGCTTCCACACTCTACCGCTGCCATCGTCAAACCCCTCTGGCTGCGCCATAAAAATCTCCTCCTCAAGGATTCCGTTGAGGAACGCCGTTACGATGTCTAGCTGCTTCACCACCCAACCTTTGATAGCGGCTCCCGCGAAT